ATACTGAGGCAAGATTGTAAGAGAAGATTTGTGGGTCACAATCCAGGCTGCCATCAAAGCAGTAGTGCTTGTTCTATTGCAGTATATTTTTGAGAAGGATGTGCTTGAGGATATGTTATATGTCCTTCTGTTGCCAACTGACACCATAGCTGTAGAACTATTCAAGTCTTTGACAAAGTATGAGCCCTTCACCTCTCCATCACTCAAGTTTCCCCATTTTCTACCCTAAGTAGATTGGATCAGAGCGAGGATTCTCAAGCCTGAATACACACCACGATGACTTGAAGACCTCTTAAAAACCCGTTAACAGACAGGGGTGGTGGCACATGCCTTTAATCCCAGCACTCGGGAGCCTGAGGCTGAAGGATTGCATATGTTTGAGGCCATCCTGAACCACCTAGTGGGATTCTGTCTCAACGACATCGCTCTTCCCTGGCCTCACCCTGGACCAGTCACACCACAATCTCAAGGGAAAGTACCCAACCTTAACATGCTCAAAGCTCCCTGGGGGTCCCGGGTGTGGCCAAGGATGAGACCCTGGGTTAGAGCCATGGTCCCCATTCCCACCTGAGCACGGGGGTCATTTGAGCTACTGAGTTATGCATATTGACCTCTCGGCCCCTCTTCTGCAGGTTCTGCTTCCATGGCTCTGGGGGAGTAGGGGGTCCCCAAATTCTGCATTCTAGATAAGCCATCAAAGAGTCTTCACATGAGATGCCTCTCAGGAATGTGGACCAAGCCCCTCCTCCAGCCTCCCTGTGCCCACGAGTCACTGCGGATCTTCCACAGGTGGGCAGTAGAGTCTGGGGTCTGCTTGCCGACAGCTCACAGGGGTCCCTGGAGGGACAGGGTTAAGGGCTCCTGAGGTAGCCTCCACGTGCATGCAGGAGGAATCTGCCAGTCCCAAATCCTGCAACCCCACATAGGCGAGGCTCCTGCCTTGCTCAGCCCAGGCACCGCCGAGCTCACTCCACCATGTCTGCTCTGTGTATCCTTCCCTGGCATCGCTCTCCCTTTCTTGGTTGTACTACCGGAAATATGACGTGTGACCGAAAGCATGGTGAATCTTTAAAGGAAATCGTCGTGGAGGACACACTGCCACGAAACCCCCTCAAAGTCCTCCCCTCGCTTTGACGCACTTATCCCATTGTCCTTGCCACTTTCTGAGCAGTTCTGAAAGTCCTCTCGCCTTGGTGTCTTTAGTCGTACGGCTGTGTCTGCCTCAGTGTCTTGCGCTGATTCAAAACATCTCTCTTTCCCGGTCATTTTGACTTTGGGGAAGAGCCCGAAGTCACACAGTTCCAGATGCAGTGAGTAAGGCGGAGGAGGACACATTGTTGTGTTTTTATTTAACAGACACTGCCATAAACTATTGCTGAGGACTGATTAAAAAATACACTGAATGTTTAAATTTACAGTTGTGTTACAGTAGAAGACACACTGCTATTAATTCTCCAAATCCTCCCGCTTGCTTGTAACACACTTATCCTACAGTTCTTGGGAGTAAACCATAATGAGGTTTTAAATTGTTTAAACATTCGCTGTATTTTTTTAATCATCCCTGTACATTCCAGGAGAAAAGGAAAGATAGGAATCAGGGAAGCCAGGGGCACGCATGGGGCAGAGGGTTTCAGCACCTGGGGCTCTGAGGAGAATGCAGCCCTCTGGAGAAGGGTTCACCCAGGGACACATTCCGGGTAGCAGCATGGTGTCCTTGTGCTTCTGATCTTGCCGGCTATTCCGGTGAATAACCACAAGCAGTCTCGATACGCTGGGTGAAAGGCCTTCCAGTGGGAGCTGGTCAGTTTACGGAACGGCACCGACACCAAGGATTTCCAAACTGGCCTCCTCTTTCCCTCTCCACTGGTGTCAGCCTTGGTGCCGGCTGTGCTGCGGGGAGCCGGTGGGGTGTGAAGGATAAGCGTGCAGACATCAGCGCTCCGTGTTTTATTTGGAGACTGTGGCTTGCCGTGAGTGGAAGTCACTACGGAGAATGTGTAAGGGAGGGAGCGGGGTTGCACCAGCTGAAGCAGGGCAGCTTCCCTCTCGGTGACCAGGAGGCAGAGAGACCACGTGAGAGGGGCCGGGCACAAGACACCCTTCCTGGTCCTACCCCAGTAGCCCTCCCTCTCCGACCAGGCCCAGCTCCGAACAGCCTCTGCCATAGGAACTCATCCATGGGTGAATCTGTTGATAGGTTAGCACCCCACGATCCAGTCGCCTTCCAGAAGCTTCACTTCTAGACATGTGAGCCTTTGAGGGACATTATTGCTCTAAACCGTCTTAACCACTGGTGTTCTCAGTGAACACAGACACAGGTTCCAGTGGCTGGGTCCTGTGAGGGTCCCACCAGGACCTCCCAAGTTGGCATCTCAGGACAAGGGGTAGGTCTTGGTTACTTCTCTTATTACTGAGACAAAATACTCAGTACTCACAAGTTAAAGCAAGAAAGGTTTACTTTAGCTTGTGGTTTGTAGAGGTTTCAGTCCATCGCTGGCTCCAAGGCCGGGTGGCAGGGCAGAGGGCATCACAGAGGAGAAACCGTCCATGGCAGGGCAGGCAGGAGGCAGCAAAACAGGGAAGTGAGCCTCTCCCTCTTATGTTCCTTCCATCCAGGCTACAAGCTTTTTGGGTGGTGCCACCCACACCCGGGGAGGGTCTTCCCATCATCCACTCCCAGAACTATGCTAAACCGATCAGTGGACTGATTTAGTGGCAGACACCCTTAATCCCAGCATCACACACCCTAGATCGAGCCAACGCTGAAAAGCCCCACCTAGGACTGCGAGGCTTTTGGGGGACAACTAGACACAACCGTAACAGGGCATCGGCATCATACAGCGAGGCTCTGGGACAGTCTGCTGCAATTGGCCCTGGGAATTCTAAGATCCCTTCCAGCCTGGCATTTTTGGGATCACTGGGATTGTGTCTGGAGGGAAAATATCAGGCAGGAGACAGAGGGAGTTGTAAAAGAGCTCCAGGAGTTATGTGCCATCTCCTTGTGTCCCCATCCTTGGGTGTCAAGATTTTGCCTAGGGGTGGGGCTGTCCCCGCTCTGGCCGGAACAAGTAGCACCTGGGCCCTTGACACTGGTCCTGGCCCCTGGGAACCAGTGTCCCCTTGAGCCTATCAAAGCTCAGCCTGCTGGACAGGTCTGGGGAAGTCCAAGATGTCTGCAAGGGGCTTCTCTTGTTCAGACTCGGAGGAGGGACAGTGTCCTAAAAAAGCTCCTGCCCTGCAAGGGGAGGTGGCTCTCACTGACCTGCTTTTCCTAACCTGGGCTTCTGGCCAAAGGTCACTTACTCCAAAATGAAATGAATGCAAGGCTTTGGGTGCATGGGGGTGTCTGTTGTCACCGACCCAGCGGAAAGCGCGGGCCTCAGTCATAGAGCCCGGTGTCAGTGACGCCGACCCTATTAAATGTTGTGTCCAAGTCCCACACGTGAGCTGGTACACGCCAGAGCCTACACAGCAGGTGCTCCATGAGCATGTGAATGACTTGAAGGACAAATGAGCGAACAGTTGGTGAGCAAGGGGCGATGTGCCCGTCAGCGGATGAGCGGAATTTACACACAGTGGAGCGCGACTCTGCCATCGAGAAGGGTGAGCTTCTACTCTTCTCTAAAGAAGTCATTTGTAGGAACAGTGTCTGTGCCACAAGACCACACTAAGAGAAATAAACCAGATACCGAAGCTGATATAGGGCGTGATTTCTCTTCTACGAGAAGCCCAAAACATGAATAAAGAACAAAATAAAAGTTAGATAATACAAGTAGGGAGAGAGATCTTTTGCAGGTGGGAAGAGGAACAAAGCGGAGGTAGGGAGGGGACATGAATTAAGAGGTGGTGTGCGCGTGCACCAGCTCCCCACAAGGAATGTAACCATGATGTCCTGCACACGCGGACTCGTGAAAATATAAATTTAAAAAAGAAAGGGTCCCATTGCCCAGTCCCTGGGCTTTGTACTCCCTGAGCCCGCCCGAGTCTTGCCTTACCAAGGAAGCCTTCGCTCCAACTTCTGCTGGGTCCTGATTTGAGCTCCTTGGTTCCGAGCGTCCTGCTCTTCAGGGCCCAGGGCTTCTCTGTGGAAGAGAGGGAAGGTGACCAAGCACAGGTCCCCCAGGACAGAGGGGACCCAGCCTGCTGACACCCCGGAGGAGGATCAGGAAGACAGCACGGCTGTGTGGCCACACACTTCACCTCATTACGTTCTCCACACTGGGGACCACCGTGACCCCCTTCTAGAGTGGGGAAGACTACGTCTGAGAGGTTCGGTCGGCGGCCGGGGTCACACCGCAGGCCCACAGTGTGGGAGGCCGGGCTCCAGAGACCGCACTGTCCTCCTGCGAGGACGGAGGTCTCCTCTCTGCGGCTCAGCTGAGTGAGGGCCCCAGGAGTGCTGGGCCGCTGTCCCCATCGTCCCTGGTGAGCCGAGTTTGGCATCCCAGAGCCCCCAGAGGTGGCTCCACCCTGTGTGGGGAGTGACTCCAGCCCTGGCCAGGGTGACAGAGTCAAGGCTGAGGTTCCCTCCAGGTGACCCTGTGCTTGCTCTGGTCTTGACTGCACCAGAGTTGAATTCATGGGGGTAACCGAGTGAACCCAGGCAGTAGTTTATCACTCATGGTTCCTGAGAGGTGGGACACACAGGGCCACTCGGGGGCCCCGGGAAGCTCCGGGCGGTCAGAGCAGCAGGGGAGGGGAGAGCATGGCCCTGCGCCCTTGCTGTGGTTTCCGAGTGGGCCGGCGAGGGCAAGCTTTGGGGTGGCTGGCAGTTCCGGGGACCCGGGCTAGCGGAGTGATCTCAGACTCCAGCCACCCCGCCTGGGCTGACTCAGGCAGGGGACACCGCCTGGGGGCGCTAGAGCCCTCGGAGGAGGTGGGGGCTCTTCAGGGGCCTAGAGAGCTGGCTGCATCTCTCCGGGGTCAGCCAGGCCCTGGATGTCAAGCATCACAAAGCAGAAGGCACAGCTAACATGGCGGATGCGCTCCTCTCCCCACAGGGTGTTTTTCCTGAACATGCCCTTAGATTCCATCCTCGAGCGCCTGACTCTGAGAAGGGTGGATCCCATCACAGGAGAAAGGTCTGTGTGGAGTACCCGGTGATGGGCGCCTCCTGTGTCCACCTGAGGGATAGCACTGGTGACTCCTGAGGGCGGCTGGGGAAGGGGTCCAGGATGGCTGCTCCAGGCGGGTCTGTCACCCTCTGCCTGGAAGGGAGCATGGGAGAGCACTTCCGGGCTCCACAGCAGTGCGCTGGCCAGAGGGTCCCACGCTGTCCTGGGGTCACCGGCTGCACCCTGCTTGCAAAACGTGGCCTTGGGTAGGTAGTGTCACCTGTGCATGAGCCTGTGCTGGAGCCCAGGTGTGTCCCAGAGGCAGCTGCCGCACAGATACATCTGATGGTGACCAGAGGCGACTTCTGAGTCCACTGTGCCACCTGACCAGGCCCCACAACTGACAAGAATTAGTAGCGTCATCTCTGGTGAGCAGGGCCACATTTCTTGGTAGGGACCTGAGGACAGGAGACTGGAAGGAAGTGACAGGTTGTTTTTTTTTTTAAGTGTAGACCTGATGTGTCATCCTCAATTTTAGGGGACAGTCCTGCCAAGTACTATGGCCTCCACGTCACCCTGCCCGGGGCTGAGGAACTTCCTGCCACCTCCACCCACCTCTGGGATGGAAGGTCCCACTCCCTCGTTTGACTTGAGTTCTATAAACCTAGTCAGCATCTGTCTTGCTTACCGTTGTGTCGGCGAGAGCAGATCCAAGCCCAGACTCACAGCGGATGCTTAAATGTTTGGAAGGATGAAAACAAGAAGGAAGGGTCCCACCAAGGGTGTGGCAAGGTGAATGTCCTGCCCTCTGCGAGTGGCTGTGGGTCACGCGTTCCCCCCCACCTCCCCCGTAGGTACCACCTCATGTACAAGCCACCTCCCACCCTGGAGATCCAGGCCCGCCTCCTGCAGAACCCGAAGGATGCCGAAGATCAGGTGAGGCTGCAGATGGACCTGTTCTACAGGAACTTGTCAGAGCTGGAGCAGTTTTTCAAGCAGGCCATTACCGTCAACGGGGATCAGGACCCCTACACGGTCTTCGAGTACATAGAGAGTGGGATCATCAACCCCCTGCCCAAGAAAGTCTTCTGACTGGTCCACTGTGTACGGAGCCCTACAAAACATGCTCATCCTCCGCCCCAGCCTTCCGGAAACCCCCTCCAAGCCAATAAAGAGTGCCGGATACTGTCTCGTGTCCTGCAAGTGTGGGGCTGGAAGGTGGCCTTCTTTGGGGGTCTAGAGGCACAGGAAAGAAGCTGAGAGAGGACAGTGAAGAATCGCAGGCTGGACCTCTGGAGTCAGCTTGGGTTAGTGCAGGCTCCACCCAGCCATACAGCTTGTTCCTGCTCAGAACGCAGTGGGGATCAGGACTGCAGCTGCCTCATGGTGTTGCTATGGGATTTGTTGCCGCGATGCGAAGAAAGCTGGTAGCACAGTGCCCAGCACACAGTGAGCACTCGGCAGATGCGGCTTTAAAAGCCTGGCATCCAGCGGAACTCTGAGCGATGCCCCTGCCCCTGCCCGCACTGTCCTATTGGGCAGCTGCCAGCTGCAGCTGGCTGCTGGGCACCTGAAATATAGCCAGTGCCACTGAGGAGGTAGTTTGTAAGTTTTGCTTCATTTTCGTGGAGTTAAATTTAAAATCTACCACGTTGGACGGTGCTGTTTTGGGCGGACTTAGCTGTTTCTCCAGACTTGCCTTCTACTGGTCCCCTCGGGGGACAGTGACAACCCGGGCTGGTGTCAGCAGATGCCCTTCCACACCCCACGCTTCATCATTTCCTTTCACCTTAGTGACGTCCTCACCAGTAAGTCCTGGGCGCGCGCCCCACAGACTCAGGACGCTGCAGCTGCAGAGGAAAATGTCTTGCCGAAGGTCACCTGGGTCCAAGGCTCAACCTGAACCCTGTGCTCCGGGTGCCACCCGGGCTGTCTGCCTGCGGTTCCAGCCCCAGGGCTCTAGGCCTCTGGGCCTGATGAACCAGGACCCTGCCTACAGGGCCAGCTCAGAGCTCCTCGCCAAACTCTCCCTGGCACCTGCCGTGGTAGGCAGGGCCCTCCCGGCCAGCAGCTGCCTGTGCCGACCCAGGCTCAGGCTGACCTGTGTCGGCCCTGGGCACAGGTGAGTTGAGCCCCGTGTCTGCTACAGCCAGGCACATGGCCAGGTGCTTTCTGCACACATCGCGCCTTCTGCTCCTTCCCCTCTGCCCGGAAGCTCGGCCCTACACCCCACCTCCTCACCGGCCCTGAACTCCAGTGGGCCCTGCAAGGTCCCAGCTCTCCCCCACCACCTAGGATTCGCACCTCCCACCGAGCCTCCTTCCACCCAGACCACACATCGGCACCTCACACTCTGCTCGGGTCTGAGACCCTGCCTACCGGCACCCAGCCCATGACACGCAGTGTGGGTGTCACGCCTCGACCGGAGGCGTCACGATCACGCGTGCCCTCGTGACGTGTGAAGGAACGCTGGCTTGGCAGGGTCAGGTGACCTGTTCTACCCCTTTCCTCCACCTGCCACCCCCATTCAGTGGTGCCGTGTGTGCCCCCATGCTAAGGTAGGTGGCATCCCGATTAGCAGCCCCGGCTCCCCTGCTGCTGTGTGGCCTGGGGCAAGGTACTTCACCTCTGGGTCCTTGTAAAGTGAGAACAAAACAGCAGTTGCTTTCTAGAGCTGTTGTGAGGTAAACGAGAACAGGCAGGGCAGGGCCGTGGAAAGTGCTCAGAAGTTGTACTCGGCGATCTCTCTAACGCTCACCATCTCCTGTGAGGTCCACGTGGTTTTCTCCTTCAGTGCCATGTAACAATGGGCCTGGCTGGCCCCAGGTCGAGTAGTGTCCCACCTTCCAGGTCCCTGCCTTCCCTGCAGCCCCAATGTGTACGGCTGGGGCAGCTGCAGGGAGGAGTCAGCAGGGGCGAGTCGCAGGTGACTGTCAGTCTCCCCACCCGCCTTTGATCCCTGGCTGCCCCCGCGGCTCCCCTGGGGCTGTCCCAACAAGCTGGGGCCGTGGAGATCACTCCACAGGGAAGGGAAGGCGGGTGCAGCCTGGACCTCCTGTATGGCCCTAGCCTCTCCTTTCCCTGGCTGTGCACTCAGCGCTGCAGCTCCGCGGATGCATATCCAGGTGTGCTCCTCTCCCTGGAGTAGTGAGCATCAGCCAGGAGAAGGTGGTCGGGGCTCCTGGTCCACGGCTCATGCCCAGCTGCTTTTGTCGCCGGTCGTCACTGCCTGCTCCCGGCACCCCTGCCCAGGCTGTGGTCTCCACGCCTCGTACTCCCCTGAAGTGGGAAAGCCGCGTGGTCTCAGGGGCCCTGCCAATGGCCTGTGATGTGTTTCCTGTGTGCCCTGCTCCCAGGCCGGTCTGCACTGACCTGCAAGTGTACACTCTGGCACTGCTAACCACGGGTGCTGTGCTCACAGCTCTGCAACTGACTCAGCCTGTGCAACTGAAGCTGGCGGCCCCTGAACAGCAGCCTTGCGTTCCCTCCTCCCCGGTCCTGGCGGACACCGTTCTACTCGCCGGTTCTATGCATTTGATTATTTCGATTTTTTGAGACAGGGTCTCGCTGTAGACTGTGATGGCACCTGAGAGCTGAAGCCCATGTTTTCCCTCATGTGGCTCCTATTTCTTTTTGAGAATCTCTTTCCCCACATCCTGGGCCCGGAGAGCAGATTGCGGGCTCCGACACCTACTTCACCTACAGGTAACCACTGGGGCCACTGCTTGGGAATTCTCGGAGACGCAGACACTCCACCGATCGCGCTGTGCCTGGGGCCCGCCACCCCACATGCCAGGAAAGTGCCAGCACCAGGCTCTCAACCACAACTGGGCTCCCCGCAAAGCAGAGACTGGAAGGCAGTTTGCATCATTGTATGTGTGTGGTGGGAATGCAGGAAAACAAGCTTTCCAGCCATCAAATGTGTGCTGAAACCACTTTATTGAGAAATAACTTGCACACAGAGTTCATCCATCCTCAGTGTGTGCGGGTGATTTGACCCAGATGCCCTAGGGATGCCAAAATTGGAGGGCACTCAGGAACCTCAGACAAAATGGTGCCGCAGTCAGTAGAAGCTGTGCACACCCACCCCATACTTTGACCATCCCAGATTACGATCTCAGCTGGTGGCGGCAGTTCCGGGGCCTCTGCATGGGGTCCACAGCTCAGAGAACCAGCACTAAGCGCACCCACCCCAAAGCTGGACTCGGGCTGGGGAGATGACCCCAGGGCCGGTCTCCAGCAGCCCATCCCTTACTTTTGGCTGTGATAAACAACAGCTTCCTTGTCCACCCAAGTTCCTGGCCAAGGGACACAGGGGTCCATTAGCTGACTGCACCTCCCATTGTCAGCAGTTCGAGGCTTCTCTTGGTCTCCACCCTTCTGGGATCCCAGCACTAGGAGCACGGGATGCTCATCAGCGCTGACTTCTTGCTGTCAATCCTGGCCTTGTGGTGGCCACCACTGGCCTGTCACTCTCCAGTGCCTCACCCTGGTTTTCACCTGAAGCTCGGGTTTGCAGGGGAAGCGGCATCTGGCAGGACCGGGGCTCCCATCGCCGCCCCTGCACCCGAGGATGGGTCCCTCCCAACACGGCTCCTCTGTGAGCCTGGCACCTGTCTCCGATGCTGCCGTAGCATCTGAGCTTCCATGCGCTGCCCATCTGCACCCAAGGCGATCTGCAGGGGTCCTGGCCAGCATGCTAAACCAAGTCTGTCGCAGTCACTCTGGTGGCTGGGACAAAATACCCGACACTCCCAACTTAAAGGCGAGACATTTATTTGGCCTCGTTTTCATTCCATGGTTGGCCGGCTCGAAGGCAGACGCACTTCTTCCAACCAGGCTTCACTCCGCCAAGAGCACAGCGCCCCGTGACCCAGTCAGCTTCCACAGCCCACGTCAGCACACAGGAGGCTAAAGTGCATTCCAGAGCCAAACCCCAACGGGGTGTGGCACCAGGAACAGCCCTAGGCCCAGCTCTTTGTTCTCCCACTCAGCCCAACTCCCATCTCCTGCCAGTCCTGCAGCTCTGCCACAGATGAGCAACGCCCTCCAGAGCCAGCCTGGAACCCCCCAGCTAGCCAGACCGAGCCCTGGCGGAGTTACTGACCTGCAGGAAGAGGTCTGCAGGTAATGGGAACCGCTCTTCTTTTCTTTTGGTACTGGGGGACTGAACTTGGGTCCCTGCGCTTGCGAAGCACGCAGCGGAACCACTGAGCTAAATCCCCAGCCTGGGAACGGCTCTTCTTGCTCACGGGGAGGGAATCCTATCTGCTGGGAATTGAGATTCAGTATCTTCCAGAGCACCATCAAGTCCTACTACGGTCTGGACTTGAAGTGAGCCCCCAAGACTTAGGTGCTGTTTTTGGAGGTGACTGGGTCACGAGGACTCTAACTTCATCAGTGTTTTTAATCCTTCCGGACACACTTTGATGGCATTATTAGTTATTGGGGCGATGGAAACAGGAGCCGAGCCTTGCTGAAGGACTGGGTCGTGGGGTGACCTCGGGACTGTATGTGGCCTCCCGCCTTCCTCTCTGGCTCTCCTGCTCTCTGCTTCCTGGCGGCCATGAGGTAAGCAGCTTTCCGCCGCCACGCCCTTCAGCCATGATGTTCCTGCCTCACGTGGGCAAGAACATCTTAAGGACAAGAGCGGAGTGACCATGGACTGAAACCGGAGCCGCAAGAATCCCTTCCTGCGTTAGGAGCTTATTCTCAGGTATTTCATCACAATGACAGAAAGCTGACACGACCCCCTTCCCCTCCTCAGCGTCCTTATCAGGAAGCTACCGTGGCTGTGCACTCAAGCTTTTTGCAGGGCCCAGGACTCCATTCTGGCCAGAGGGACCTGCTGCCAACTGGCTGGTGAGCTACAGAAACCCATCTCCCTGAGTAGCCCTTGGACCTTTGAGTCCCTCCCACCCAAAGCAGACTGTGAAGTGGGGACTTGGATGCAAATGGCTTGTTTGGGAAGTGGGAAAAGTGAGCGGACAGTGGGCTACTCAGGGAGGCTCTGAGAAATCAGAGACATTTGTCCCCACCAGAGCTGTTCCCCTGGGGCGTTCCCTTCCCCACACTTCCCGGGTGAGGCTGCCCCAGTTAGGATGCTGGAAAATGTCTGCAGTAACTGCTGGTAAGCTCCAGAGGCAGAGAGGATGTGGAGATGATAAATACTAATGTCCTGTGAAGTGTTCTCAAAAATGAAATGAATGAGTGGATACACACACTTGTCTTCTTTGTGGTGCTAGGGATTGAACCCAGGGTCTCACACATAGCAGACCAGTGCTCTACCACTGAGCTATGTCCCCAGCCCTAAACCAGTCTTTTGAGAACGCGACAGATACACTCCTGAGCTAAGCAAAAGCATAAGAGGGTCTGTGTCCTACTGAGCTGCACTACAGTAGGTGCAAGAGAATCTAGGTATGGAAATCACAGGCGGAGATCTGGATCTAGCAGGCAAGGGGATGGGGGATGGCCAATGCGACAGATCCCCCGGGAGTCCAGCCCACGTCAAAGTCCTCTCCACTGTGATGGCATCAGGAGACGGAGCCTTTGGAAGGTGACTAGAGTTAGATGCAGTATCAGGTGGAGCCCTCATAATGGGATGAGGGCCCTTCTAAGAGAAGAAACCAGGCCAGTCTCCAGGCCAGGCCAGCACACGGTGACACGGCAGCCACCTACATGCCAAGAGTCCGAAGGAAGCCAACCCTGCGGGAACCTTGGCCTCAGACTTGAGCCTGCAGACTGAGAAACACCTCGCCGTTGCTTCAGCCATGGGAGTCTATGGTATTTTGATATAGCAGCCTGAGCGCAGACACGTGCTGTTTAAAGCAAAACTCTGCATGTTGGGTTTGCAGTGCACCCAAGAGGGAACTAAAGGCGACAGCACAAAGGCTGGAGACATAAACGGTATTTACACTCTCTTTTCTCACATTATAGCAATAACTACCTTCTGATTCAGTTCACATGGAACTTTACTATCCTTAAAAACTCCTAGCTTTTACCTTTACCTCAGAGCCAGTTTTTTAAAAAAGCAATGTTTTATTGGGATGAACTCATGTACTTTTGTTTTTTTTGTACCAGGGATTGAATTCAGGTCCCTACACTTACCAGGCAGGTGGCGGAACCACGGAACTAAATCCCCAGCCCTCGTTTATACTGAATGTAATGCTATGTGGGTTAAGATACATCTTAGTACTCACCATTCCCTAACCTATTCCATCTTTTTTTCTTCCTTTGCAACTTTCTGGGTCATTTTTAAACTGTTCCCCCACCCACACACACACCAAGAGCTTAACTGTGGATTTTATTCTTCTGAACTGGTTAGAGGCCGCTCTACAGGAGAAGTGACCTCACCGGTTCCCACACATCCGCGCATCTCCCGGTCTATCTGCTACTACTGCCGTGTTTTATCTCAGACTCTCTCAGAACTTCATCTTGTGCATGGCTGCTGCCCACAAAGGCTCTCCTTTCCTGTTCTTCCTTCTTGGCCACATCTCTGGGCTCTGCCTGGTGAGAATTTGAGGGTTCAGGGCATTTCTTACTCAATGACTTCAGATGATGACAGGTAGGAGGATGGAGACCAATGCTCCCGGCAGACAGAAGAGCCTCACTCACCTGAAGGGGGTGCCCAGACTTCCAGGATCCGCTCTGCCCGTGGTCCGCTCCTTAGGAAATGAGGTGGAAGGAAAAACCAATCCTGCCCCACGAAGTGAGAAGGAACTGGTGTCACGGCGCAGAGCCTCTCAGGTAAGACCGCAGGACAGGCAGAGCATCCCTACAGACCGACGGTCCATCCGAGCGGCGGCAGGTGTCACAGGTGCTCCTGCAGTAGGGTCCGAGTGCTCCAAACAGCCCAGCTGAGCAGGGGGAGCACCAGGTGGGCGGAGAACACTGGCCAGGTCCCCTGCACCTACCCATCAGATTCAGCAAGATGTGGAGGTCACTCTGCTGGGCACAGATGAACCCCGGCCTGACACTGGCACAGAGGCTGAGCTGTCCAACACAGCTCGTTTCTAGTGTCACGTTCCTCGCCAGATACTGTTTAGCTGGCATCGTTAAGAGTATGTGACACCGGGGCTGGGGATTTGGCTCAGTGGTTCTGCTGCCTGCCTTGCAAGTGCAAGGGCCCGAGTTCGATCCCCAGTACCAAAAACAAAGAGTATGTGACATAGGAGCCGGGCAGCTAAAAAAGAAAAAACAAAAAAAGAAAAGCTGGTATGGGCTGGGGTATAGCTCAGTGGAGGAAGGAAGGAAAGAGGGAGGAAGAGCTAACATTCTGCGCGTGCCGAACAGATCACTTTCCCTTACCTTCCCCGTACTTTTTCTGTCATCCACACTGGAGGGATCCTGCCCTCGTTCTGTGGCGGCCCAGCTGTCTCCCCCACACCATGCTCCCCCCAGAGCTGACGCACAGTATCCAAGTAATTCTGTTATTTATTTTGAATTTAAAAAGTGGCCAAAAACAACAATACTAGTGTCTACCTACAAAACAGCGTATGAGAAGTTATCTCACATTTTCAAAGTGCCATTCTGCACGGCCCGACACGTTCACAGCAACTTTACCAGACGCTACTGGAACCAAATGAGCAAATGAGGTGGGCGGAAAGCCGTTCACGAAATGGCTCGCTGGCAGCCAGCTTACAGGTAAAGAAACGAGGGCCCAAGCCCCTGCACTGTACCAGTAACTGAGAGGATGAAAGGAAATCGACACTCGGGCTGAGCGCCGACCAGTCTTCCCCCAGTTCCATCCCGTTTTCTCTGTGATCCGCCCCGCGTCTCATTTTCCCAGAAGCCTCAGCAGTGACGTTAGATAAAAGCTTAGAGCTGTTCATCGCCTGTACTGCGTGTGCACACACACACGCACACTCACACATACACGGATGCAGGCTTAGGCATGATGTTTTTATCTGCAGGAAAGAAGGTTAAAGAGTACTGAGGATGTGGCCCTGTCTGGTTCCACCCCAGAAACCCAGGCAGACCAAAGGCAGAGCCTGGCTCCTCCCTCGTGGGCACCTTGGGGTGCTGAGCACGAGGCGACAGAGGCGTAGGACGCTGCCCACTGTGCGTGTCACTGGCACCTGCCCTGCGAGAGGCACTGCCATCGAGCGCTGCAGGGTGATGAGGGTGAAGTCGTTCCCGCCCCAGGGAGCTTCCATTCTAATCGGCAGCACTGGCTACGTACACACAGCGAGAGCAGAGGCGAGCGCTTGTTCTGGAATGCGCACTGTGTCAAGCAAAATACTATTAAAATTTTTTATCTAAACATTGATAGTCTAAAACATACCACCTAATTAGATGGTGAGGATTGAAAAAAAGTCCTCTGCATAACCTTAAGTTTTTCTTTTTATTTCAAAAAATGTCAGGTGTAAACACAAAATTCATAGCCAAGCACAAAGTTTAGCACAGGCATTGGGTAAACATAAAATATATATCACTATACACAACACAGACTTGTTTTTCTAGTCTTATTTCTGTATAAACAAGTTTGATATTCACTTTCATTTCATGTATCAAAGTACAAATCTGAGTCGAAACCTTGAAAAAGACATAATTCATAGGGCATTTTGCATTTAATTTTTCATTAGTACCAGAGAGCAAGCAAATGAGCACACACCCTAAGCCTTACCATCTGTTAGCCAACGTCAACTGATCAAATTCAAAGTGTCTTCAAACTGAATATTTTACAAGATCTTTTCTTTAGGAAAGTAACAGGATTTCATGACAGTGAGGTAAGGAACTTTTAGTAATTCCACCCGTCAGTCTTAGCTAGGCAGCCTATGCCATGAGTCCTCCCCCAATTCTTCTCTAGCCCAGAATGGACAATTGTACGCCTGGTGGTAAACAACGTACACTGCTCTAAGCAGAGTGACCAGGACCCTGTTACCGCTGTCTAGCTGTCCCTCCAAAGCTGCATGGTCACAGGTGGCTTTTTCAGAGGTGGCTGGATGTAGAGTGAGATCAAGGTTGTGTGATTACTAAATCAGGGCATGGATTGGTTTGGCATAGTTCTGGGTAAGACTAAGGGTGCCCCACCCTGGGTTCTACCTGCCCTGGGGGTGGGGTGGGGTCAAAACACAAAGGGCAGAAAGAAGGCTCCTGTACTGGTCTGGTGCCTGCTCGCTGCTTGCCCTGCTCTGTGACAGAGCCTTTCTCCTCTGTGATGCTCTCTGCAGTGCCACCCTGGAGCCAGCCAACTAAGGACTGACACGTCTACAAAGTGTGAGCTAAGTAAACCATTCCTCCTTTAACTTTGGGTGTCAAGTATTTTGTTCCAGGAACGAGAAAAATTAACTAAGGCAGATCCTAATTTTATATTGGGTTTCCTCACTATACATTTGACTCAGAAAAAATGCAAATAAGATGAACTTCCTGATCAGATAAAGGGGTCAGGGTGCTGAGGACCAGAGGAGAATCAAGGCCTGACTGGCCTCTTCTGCGAGAACAAGGGAGGAAGGCCACACTCAGGTGACTGCACATTAGGGAAAAGTTAGGCTGTGTACCAGAGGGTGTACTACTGCACATTGGAGACCAGATGAACCTTGTATTACCTTGACTGCCTGTGCCCATTTTGGGTGAATAAGAGCAAGGTGAGCCAAAGGCTGGGGGTCCTCTGCCTGCTAGATGTAGAAGGCCCTGGCTGCCTGCAGGTTAAGCCGACTCTGTCTCTGTCATTCATCCTCGTTCACCCCTGGGTCAGGGAGAGCAGAGAAGAAGAGCCAGCGACAGGTGACTCCCTGGCATGGGGGCCAGGGACCCAGGTTAGCCTACAGTCAGGGGAGAAATATTCACAACCAAAAGAACCATTACAGGGTTTCCGTATGGTGCTGCTCCTCTGATAAATTGAATGATTTCCACAGCAAGTCTTTAGGAAACATCACCACTTAAAAACTTTAAGCAGGCAGAGGCCTGCACCTTTATAATGATTTCCACCCGTGCTGTGGGGCAAGGTCACAGTGCAGGAAAAACTGCTGCTTGAGGGCCTGGAGATGCTACAGGACTGGAGACAGGCGACACTGCCTTCTTTGAGTTCGGCCTGCTCCCTTCCATCTACAGATAAATTTCACATGCTCTGCACTCAGACACAACAGAGCAGACATACAGCAGATGTTAACTTCAGAAACCTCGTGGCTTCAAGCAAGAGCAGATCAGCCTCATCCCCAGGAGAGCCTGAAGACAATGACAACCTCCTCCAGGGCATCACTAATCCTTTTGCCAAAAACTAAACAGAAACAGACTCTTCAGAGGCGTCTTTTATATCTGCCAACCTGGACAGCTTCCTGGTCTCCCTGGACTGCTGGACTCCAACACAGCCAGGGCCCCGAGTTGTGGCGACTCGGACGGAGTGCGACACGTTCACTATAGAGGGCTGCTGCTCTGTTTGGCACGCTGCCGCCTGTGCGGCTCTGAGTATCAGCCTGAGCTTTAACTGTAACTTTGCTTGGGAAGAATGACATTGCCAGGGGCAGGGTGATGGGCGGGAACAAGTTAAAATCCAGTGCCCATCAGCCCAGAGTTACTGCACGCTCTGAAAGGAAATTATCTAAAGGGAGCCAGAACCAGCCCGCTGGTGTGTTAAAGACTAGCTAGCACTGTCACCCTGAGAAACAGGTTGTGGTCAGCGGTTTCTTTAGGAAGGCAGACCCACCCCATGACCTAGCACTTGGATGAGATCGGGCGCGATCAAGGCGGCGTAGCCACAGACAGCACTTAGAAATGTTACCACTTATCCATTCTTCTTTCAAAAGAGGAATGTTAGCTCTGAACACGTCCTCGAGCCAAGAGAACTGAAGGAATGGAAATGGCAAGATGGGCAGAAAAGGCGGGCAGATCCTGCGGCAGGAACCCTGCGGGCATGGACACTGACAGGACTCGGGGGTCCACCTGCAGCAACTCATGCAGTCGGGAGCAGCTTGGAGGCTGCCAGGCGAGCAGGTGCTCACAAAACCAGCACTGTGTCCCTCTTAACAAGCACCGGTGAGCGCTGATCTATCTCTTTTGCATATTATCTGAAACCAGTGTAATTAAAACCAGATATATTTTAATACTTAATCATAATCTTTTAACATTCTTTGAACCTGTTAAAACTTGCCAATAGGCCCGACATACCTACTGCAACATAATATCCTCAAAACTTCTTAAAAGGAAGAAGCAGAAAATGTCACATTCAACCACGAGCTTTGCCAGTGGTCCTAATAACTCCTGACAATGAAAAATAATTGGTAGTTTTGGCAGACATAATAGTCGGTAGAGACTGCTTGAAGACTGGGTGGTGGACACAGGAGGATCTCAGCATGAATATCCAGCATAACAAGCTATCAACTCCTTATCTAGAATAATGGGAACAAATTAACCCCGGGCAGAGAAAATGTGGTGGACACAGGATACAGACTTCGAAAGGCAACAGTGTTGTAGCCTGAAAGGACTAACTGTATAGAACCTTTGTTCCTGCGTTTTAAATGCAAGGCAGCCACGTCACTTGTGCTGTTTCTCGCATTCCTGAAACAGTTATTACAGTCACAGCTGAAAGCAACTTGAAGTCCACCAGCTAGGTAAAGGTGGGGAGGCATAGGGTATGCTAAGTTTCAGCTGGAAGAGGGAACTAGAGGAGTCTGATGTCGCGGGCACTTCTCCAAGTTGCACGGATGAACACCAAGGTGGGGTACACTGACCCCGAGAAATTCAGAAGCACACTGTGTTTATGAGATTGCCTACCACTGATCGAAAATCTCCTCTGGCAGGTCCAGGTCTGGATTGGCCTCCTGTGGGGAGAAAGGTGCTGGAGCCTGAGGCTAGATTTCAGGGTCCGGAAAACTCCCTAAATCAGGCCCCCGCTTGGGTTTCTGTAACCTGCGTTCCAGGGCAACAGCTGCCATATTTGCTCTCACAGACATAACTCAGAGATCCTTTCTGGTTACTCTTAATAGTTGAATTTTCTAAAAAATGCACAACTGCTTTAAAAAAGTTTTAAAATGGCGGTAAGAACAGACTACTACAGACTCTGATTTGGAACAAAGAAGCAAATGAAATTAAGCATGCCATGATTATTAAAAATGAAACAAGTTCCTTGACATCTCAATTTCTATTGTCACATTTATCGTAAAGTGCAAACGCTGCAGGCACAATGACTTCAGCTATGCAGGGTTCTCAACTGTGTCACTCATGATTTCAATGCTGCCTGGTTCCATTCCTTCCTTGGAAATCCATTTGCCATGCTGACCCATAAAGTCCAGATAAAGACTTTCATGAAATCACCACCAAAATGAGGAAAACAAGCAAATGACTCCAACAAATATATAGACAGGAGACAAAACAATTTGATCAGGAACAAGACATTTCAGAGCAGTGTTTGGAATTGGCTTTGTGGAATCATCTCAAGGACACAGCAACAGTGGGGGAGCAGCGGTGGGGTGTGGGCAGTGGCCTGTGGCCGACACGTCCCTTACACTGGTCTCCAAACAGCAAGAAATGAGAACTAAATGTCTTTTGCTAAGGATACGAAATAAGAGCAGGAAATCATGTCAGAAGAAAGGGAAAAAAGACAGCATGAATATGAGCATGAGCCACCGGGCACGGTGACTCACACCTGTGATTACAGCACTGTGGAGGCTGAGGCCGGCCTGGGCTACACAGTGAGTTCAAGGCCAGCCTGAATTGCAGAGTGAGACTGTGTCTCAAAAAAAAAAGGTACAAAATTTCATATTCTGTGTTTCCCATCCAACCTTCCAGAAATATATACCATTTAAAAAGGTGTGTGTTACAGTTCAGTTCATTAGCACCAGTCCCTAGGACACATACTTTTAAAACCCAAGAACACTGATTCCAGAATGTCTTCTTTTAGGTTTTAAGGACCAACCAAAAATTGATGTCTGATGTCTGCCATTCATAGCCCACAGAAAAAGACCTGTATTCCAAATATCAAGGCCCTCCACAGAGACAAGACATCACCAGACTCTGTTCAACTGGGCCACAGGCACAAGTAGCAACAGGCTCAAGGGCGGTACTTCCTAGTTGCCCGTCTCTCTCCGAAGTCCCTGGCAGCCTCCCCCAGACACAGTGAGAAACCTGAAAATGTCGTTTCAGTTTCATACTAAAAGGAAAACATTTTTCCTTCTATACACAAAGTATCTAGGTTACCACAGTTAAGTCTGAAGCAGGGCCATGGTGGGGTGAACTGGAGCACTGGACATCTTTATACACATTTAGGAGCTGGATCAGGATATCTGATGACATAGAAGAGAAAAATAAGTCACAGTCATTAACTTCTAATGGTCACCTGACCATCTGATACTTTAAAACTGACTTTAGTCTTGGCTTCAACTTCTTAAAAATATAAAGTTTTAGGAAAATGTTTTCTATATGCATGAAAAACAAGAGTCCATGAGATACAGATCTGTAGCTAGTTACCGAGAGTAGAGCGTCAGCCCACTCGTGGTTTCAGACACTTTGAGTATCTGCTGGTACAAGGAACACCACGTGCCAAGCAATTTCAGTTATCTGGGGCACAAAGGCAGTGCCAGGCCAAACCAAGGACTGAAACCTCACTCGGTCCAGTGAGGTCCTTACACAAACTCCCTAGAAGAGACCATTCTGTTCCTAGAAATGACAGGACATTCCTTTTGTTCAAACTGTTTCCATCAAGACACTTGAAAAATAAGTGTTCTTCACTGGGTAAGGGGCTGGGCTAAGGTTCATCTCAAAACAACTCAAAACCTCTGCATCCGGTCATTTAAAAAGATATCCTTTAGACCCTGAGATGGCACGGGCACTTGAGCACTGAGCTCCTGGGGAGGCCCTCCTCATGGTCACGAGAGCGTCTCTCCCAGGTGATGGCCAGGCTTCCTCTTGGGCCACTCCTCAGGCTGCAGGGTTCTCCACAGCGAGCTCACGCCCTTCCCTCCTTCACCACAGACACTCAGAAGACAGGAGAGTCACAGAAAGGACAAGGGCTTTGCAGCAGCCTCTTAATCCAATCAGGATCTGCAAGGGAAACACAAGTGGCATCAAGCAGCAGCCTCCGAAAAGGCCAGCAGACAGGCTAAACGTGGCACTGCAGTGTGAGAAGGCTATCCCGGCCCCGCTCTGTGTCCCTGGACAGAGCACCTCTGCTCTCTGGGTCCAACATGCGAAACGAGGCTGGACCGCATTATTCATGGGTTCCAAGGCTAAGTGTATGAGCAGTGGGGGAGTAAGAGTACCCAACCTGTCACAAAACGAACTCCGTGCCAGTTAAAGGGCAGACTGCATTTATCCCGTGCTCTCCCTTTAACAACCACAGCAACAGTAATGTCATCATTGCACAGAGAATCAGCAATACACCAACAGCAGCCACCGCCACCCGGTTCACACCTGCCCCCGTCTTCTACGCCCAGTCTGTGAAATGCTCTGCTTGACCCCAACACTCCCTCTGGATATAGGAGTTCCTCATTTTCCCCAAAGCTGAAAGTGGCTCAATTGAAAATCAATGGCAGGCCAGGGAGTTTGGCTCAGTAGTTCTGCTGCCTGCCTTGCAAGCGCAAGGGCTTGAGTTCGATCCCCAGAACCAAAAAACGAAACAAATCAATGGCTTGGTTTTCTTGGTTTTAAATTGCAGTCTTCTGATTTCCTGCCAAAATACTACATCAGTTCTCAAGGACAGTACCTATTTTAAAAGTTCCCCAAAAATTTGTTTCAAAGTAAGTCTACTGTGCTCGCTTTAGCAGCACATAGACAAAGTAAGTCTACAAAGCTGGGAATGCTGGTGCATACCTGACCCCAACCCTCTGGGATTACAGGACGGATGGCAAGTTTGCACCCATCCTGAGCAATTTTGCAACTCAGTGAGACCCTCTCTCAGAACATAAGGAAGAAGGTCATAAGGGGTGGGGTAGGGGGAGAGAGGGGGAGAGAGAAAAAGAGAGAGAGAGAGAGAGAGAGAGAGAGAGAGCGAGGTTCAGTGTGAAGGTCCTGGGTTCAATCCCCAGAAAGGGAATAACAAAAAGCTAAGTGGATAAGAGGGGCTGGTGAGGCAGCAGCAAAGGGTGTGAGTCGCACACCTCTGATTACATTCTTCTCACTATATCCTTGTTTAGCTCTTTGTGGGTTTTTTGGTTTGTTTGTTTTTTAGTACTAGGGATTGAACTGGGGGCCTTGCGGTTTTGAGGCAGGTGGCAGAACCACTGATCTAGATCCCTGGCCTGTTTACTCTTTGTATAATTGCAGTTACCACAATAAAGAGTTTGATCAGAACCCAACTGAAACAAACCAACTTCTGAGAATTAGAGTTCCAGCCAGGTTACAGCAAAGATGAAGGCTGCAGTTTTATGTGCAGCACTTTTTGTTTTCATTCATGGAGACCAGGAAGGTTCCCTGAACACGTCAGACCCTGTGTGCTTGTGGCCAGTTAGCTAGCTTATTTGGTTAGTGTGGGCTCAGGGCAAAACTTGCTATTTTCAGAGCTATTAAATTCTAACCTTTGCCTGCCCATATGATCTTATTTCCAGCCAGTCTTCTGAGAAACAGAGATGTGCACTCTGTCAGCAGGGCTATCAGCAGAATTCACAGACCAAGCAGGAGGAAGGCCACAGTGGCTACTGCGAGAGTGGCTCGAGGCAGATCCCACTGCCTCTGCGCACGACACCCTGTGTGGCAGTCACACAGATGCCACCTGACAGCCGCCCGCAATAAGCCCTGAAACCGCCTGGAAGGAAGTCTGGGAGCAGTTACACAGAGGCAGAGCAGGCCCGCTTTCCTCACACGCCGCAGCACAGCACGCGCCGTTCAACGTGACTACCCAGTGACCACCTGAGTTCGCTCTGCCTCCATGTCAGCACTGTGAGGAGGGACAGCAGCTGCTCCGCCCTCCGGCTGGATGCTCGGCAGTGGAGCCCAGCCCGGCCGCCATGGGGATGCTGGCTGCACCTGGGGCAGCTCTTACCTTCCGGAGCCGGGTGCCGGGCAATGCTGTCGTGAAGCAAACACCTTCTGTATATCAGGCTCTGGCAGGACTGGTAGGTTAGAAAGCACCTGAAAGAAGACAGATCGTACTGTCAGAGGGAAGGGCTCGTTGGGGCTCTGCCAACACAGGAAAGCAGCAGGTGCCAAGAGCCACTCCAGAGCAGTTACTTGCCACAGCAACAACTCCCACGGTACCCTTCTGTGCGGGGCAAATCTGCGCCAAGTGGCTGTGTCCTGTACTAAGCAAAGAGATGCAAAGCTTCTAATTCAAAAGTCACTGCAGCAAGGGGAAACAATTTGGTCTGTCCCCTACCGCCCATTTCGAGCTCTTAATATATAGAGAAAAATTGAGCGTGTGTCATGGTAACTTTTTTTCCCCCAGCAGTGCTGGGGATTGAACCCATGGCCTTGTGCCCTGCTGGAGCTGCTGTTACGACTGAGCTACACCCTCAGCCCCAGATCACATATTATACTGAAAGTCATTCTGATGTTCACCGAAGGGTTAAAATTCTCAGCACCCAAACGTCTAAAATATACTTCTGCCCAGCATGTGCTGGAGAGTCAAAATGCACTGTACTAGTGAGGACTATAAACAGCACAAGAAAAGTCAATACAAAAACCATCCTTACTTCCCCCGAGCTAATGAAATATCTTTCCCAAATAGGTTAAAGCATACAAATACCCTTATCTGAGCTAAAGAGACTTCTTTGAGCCCTAAATCAAGAGACCTCAAGAATTACCAACTTCGAAGTACAACTTTAGCTTCAATACGGATGCTCCTAAAAGATTAACAAGGGACAGGATGCCCCCAAAGGACGAAGTTCTAAGTTATCTCCATCTGTGGACTCAGACCCTTTCCCACCTCTGCATTCCCTATAAAATCACAATCTCCCACCCTGACTGGAATGATTCATCTCTTGGGTACACGGCCACTGTCCTTCTTGACAGTGTGCTCCGTATTCTAAGTACATTTTTGTCTTTCCTATATTCCTTGTCTACTGGCAGTGCTTTGTACTGCCAGCCTCCGCATGCTGTCTGGCGTGACAGATCCTGTAAGTAATCCTGAAGGTTACTGAAGATGAAATCAATGGTGCACAAAGAGAAGCAGAACTAACAAATGTGTACAGGTCCAATTCGTCCAGTGAGTATCACCAAGCACACACCATCAGGACCAGACAGATGAGGCCACATAGAATGCAATGAGATGGGGCCTGCAGGAAGATGTCTAAGGGACCAAAGACACTAAAAGGGGGAGGTAAGGGAAAGGGACTCCAAGCAGGTTCACCTGAAGTAAGTCTTGGGTTTACAGGATCCCATCTGAGAGACAGCAAGCACCCATTCTCAGAGAAATCACCAAAATATTTTTGGCACTAATTTTAATCAGCAAAATGGAAATCGACTTTTGTGACAGATCCCATCTGGGAGACACTGACATGAAGTGGTCACACACAGTCACGAGCCAGAATGCCAGGCTCTGAGTGCTGCCACAAACCACTGGAATGACTTTGGGCAAATGCTTTTCTTTTTACCATGGGGTATGAACCCAGGGCCTTACGCATGCTAGGCAAATGCTCTACAGCTGAGCTACATCCCCAGCCTGGGGAAAATTCCTTTACTGACTGAGGCCCCAGTTTCCACTGTACAAGGTGAAGTAATCAGTGCCTTCTGTGTAGTTACTATGAGGATGTAGCAATTTAACACGTGTGTACTATACCTGGCACACTGAGAATGCTCAACAAATATTACTTTATTAAAACCTAAAATTGAATCTCATTTCCTATCCTTCCTTCTAAAAAAAAAAAAACAAAAAACAAAAAACAAAAAAAAACACCAGGTTAAACAATCAAATTAGAAAAAAATCTAAACCCCACCAAGAAGGAAATAAATCCTGGAGCATCCACATGATAGAAAACTCTACAGTCATTAAGAATGGGATCTTTGTACTAATGTTCAAAAATGTCCATGATATATCTTGATAAAAGAGATTGGCTGGTTGAGATGGTACCCGTAGCAGAGTCATGTTTCGCTGAAAATAAATTTAAAAATTTTACTAAGTACCTACCATGTCCCCGACAGGTTTAGAAATAGCTATGAACAGGGCCGGGGATTTAGCTCAGTGGTGCTGCTGCCTGACTCACAAGTGCAAGGTCCCGAGTTCAATCCCCGGTACCAAAAAAAAAACCAAAAAAGAGAGAAAGAAATAGCAAACAAAACCCAGACGTCCCTGTCCTTGTGTACTTCCTGTTCCAGAGGATGCAGAAAAAGAAAAGGCAAAATTGTACAATTGATGGTAACTTAAGGAGAAAAACAAAGCAAGGAAGAGGGATGCAGAGCACAGGGAGGGGAGGAGATGTCAGCAGTTACTACAACCTTAGGTACTGTGGTCAGGAAGGGTACAGGAGAAAGGGGCGTCAGAGGAAGCCACAGGGCCACCTGCTGGAGGAGCGCCTGGGGGGAAGGGCCAGCGTGGGCATCCTGCAGCAGAAGGGCACCTCAGTACCGAGGAACAAGGTCCGGTCACCTGGAATGCACAAGCCGGGAGGAGAATCTGATCTCGGATGAGTTCAGAGAGAGAGCAAGGAGAAGACAGGTCCCAAGCTGTGCAATCTTCAGATTTTGGCTTTTGTTCATCGGAAGTGGGGAGCCCCTGGAGAGTTCTAAGCAGAGGGAGACAGGAGCTGACAAAGCCTGGGAAGGATCACAATCACGAGCACACTGAGAATGAACTGGCAGGGCGGGCATGGAAGAGGCAGAGCAATAAGACAGTTACGGTCATCAGGGTGAGAGACGAGTGTCTCAGGCCAGGGCGGAAGGGTCCCAGTGGGGGAAAAGGGCTGGACTGCATGTGGAGGGCCTGGAAACATCAAGACACTGGCAGGCAGGCGGTCAGACGTGCATGTCTAGACTGCACGGAGAGACACAGGCCCCCGAGTGCAGATGCCGTGTGACCCCCAGAGAGAACGCTGACACAGTCCAACTCGGGCCTCAGGGGAAGAGGCAGGATCAGCAGAGCAGCGGGGAATGGAGGCGTTCAGGCAGGAAGAAGTCCAGGGAGCACCATGTCCTGGGAGGCAAGCAGGCCCACCTCTAAGGAGAGACTGAGGGGATGGAAGGAGAAGCCTAAACCTTTTATTATGAAATTCAACAAGAAAATGCATAAGTATGCATGCGAGCTTACTGACTTCAACAGATATGACTCTGTAATAATCTGAAAACTTATTACTTCCAAGGAAAACAACGTAACCAAAGAAAACACAGCAAACTTGTCCAATACTCTGCCTTCAATCTGTCCTAAAGGTTGTCCTGCTCTAGCCAGGCTGATAAAAATGAGCCTCAAGGCTTCAGAGTGGCAGCTTTTCCCTGACGTACAGCACGGGGGACACATCGCAGAGACACGGCAGCACAGTTAGCCGAAGCTGAACTGTGAGGAGCAGTAGGAGCTTCAGCACGGCTTACCGGAGCCAAATGTGCCCGTTGGAGCAGACAGCTTGCTTGCGGTCCGTGAACGGCAAGATCTCCTTACACAAACTGCAGTGCTCAGGGAAAGTCTGCTTGTTCATCTTCTTGGAGATATGTCCAATCAGCACCTGGTGAGACACAGCAGTCAGCAAGGCGAGGACACACAGGGCTTCCTGAAGCAAAGCCTAACACAAAGGCAAGACGGAAACCAAACAGGACCGGACAGGGACAGGACATGCGCCCTTCTGCGTGTGCCAGCTTGATTGCCTGTGGCCCTGCAACTCAGCAACCTGTATGTATGGATGAGTGAGCGATGCAAATGTACTCAGGACCTGTGACAGGAGGGCGAACTCGAACCACTAAAGGAAAACTTGTCCAAAAACCAAATTTTTACTGCACACCTTGTTTTAGCTGCTTGAGAACATACTTTTGTGAGAAGCACTTATTACTTATAATGTTTTGTCTTTAATAAATTCATAATCATTATAGGCAAAGTATATTTGGAATGCTGATAACTCTGCAGTACTACACAATGTCCCGTTTTTAAGAAACATTTACAAAGTAAATCTTCAGGACTTAAAAAGTTTCCCCCTCTGGTGGCTCAAAGACTGGTGACTAATGACACAGCCCAACAGCCTGCACCTGGCCCTGTGGACCCCTCTGCAGAGGCACTGCACAACCCACCAAGAGGCAAGGTGGTGCTGAGACAGGCGACGCAACAGGCTTCAGGCCTTGTCCCTGCTGTGGCTGTGCTTTTGTCTGCTCTGTTTATTAATATTGCACTCTTTAACAACCAAAGTCCAAAAAACACCCATTTCATTATTGTGCCAAACAAACAAACGCCCCACGGGCTCTGTCACTGGGAGGCCTGGAGGTCATCTCCTCTCACGGACAGACTGTGTCCCTGCAAGCTCTAAACTCACTTACACTCAACCTCTTGGAGAAGAGGCCCCAGACTTTGGATTAACTCACTAAAATTAGTTCCCGTAATTTCAGAGGGTTTCATAGTGGCTTGGAAGTGAGGGAGCCAGCCACCTTACTCTGTGTATATTTCACAAAAATAAATTCCATTACCTTTTGGCCTTTTTGGTTTTTCTAGTCTTTGGAATCTGGGCTGGGGTTTAGCTCAGTGGTAGAGTACTTGCCTAACATTCCCAAGGCCATGGTTTTGCCCCTACACCACAAAAAACAAAACAAAACAAAACACAAAGCCTCACATGAATGGTCCCTTACAACAAGGACACTATAGTCTCTCATCTTTTCCAGAGGCCAAGCATCCTCACGGTGGTACATGACAATACCAGCTCCAGCTCGGGCCCTCTGTAAGAAAGTCCCTACGTTTCACGTGAGGAAGGGCGGCTTCTATTTGCTCCCAATAACCTTGATTCTGCAGTCCAGCTGTTTAGTCTGACTCACGAATTCCTAATGGGGGTGACAGTTCTCCTTGGGAGAGATGGAAAATTCTTAATTTTTTAAACATATAAAGTATACATACACATATAAAGTACGTAAACAGATACTACACTGTAATACCACAATGTGAGTGTGGTATTAACATTGCATGGGCAGGAGCAGATAGGAGAAAATACTGTCTAAAAATGTTCCAGGGGAAGGTGATAATAAAAAAGAAAAACAGTTGAGAAGTACAACTAGCTATACGAGCATGCCAGGCAGAGAACCTTGGAAATAACTTATAAAATTCATTGTCTTAATCCGAACTTGGTTGCTAAGAGTAGGAGGAAAGTTTTGTATTTTTAAGCTGGCTCTGAGTCACACAGCCACATTAGACACAGCTTCTAAAATCATGCAGCATCCAGAGGAGAATTCAAAACCAGTGGGAACAAAGTTCGTCACTTTCCAAAACGTTTTTGCTACTATCTCACTGATTTATAATAATCCTAACCAGTTGGGGACACAGTGAAAATCAGAATATTGTATTCTTCCAAAGAACTGAGAACACAAGGAGACCATGTTTCAAAGCTGACTTTTAAACCCTCATGGCCTTACACAGATGTAATCTGAATCCTCTGAAGGCCCAGGCTGGCCTGGACTACACAGCTCTCAAAAGTTAACAAAAACCAGACTGCAAACATCTCAGGCAATACTTTCAGTGGTATACAAACACACTTTCCTAAAAGATATGCAACAGGGATTTGGGAAGGACTTAACGTCAGGGATGAAGACATTTGACTTTACTGTTTTCAATTAATAGTCTAAACAAGGCATTAGACAATACACGTCAATCTTTAGAGTAAAAAGGAGAGGCCTTTTGTGGTTTTGAATATTTCAGTTCTGCAGGATCTTAGCAGCCCTTAGCTGGAAGGACATTCCCTGATCAAGGAGGGGAGGCGATAAAGGTAACAGTCTCCTTTTCTGTAGCAATTCTCAGAACCCTCAGAGCAAGAATGCACACTGGGAACCTCGCAGAGCAGTAGAGTATGCTATTCCCCAGGCTTGGGACTCTAGCGACGCTTAAGTGCCCTGATTTCCACGGACTACATTGTAGACAATACTGTTAAGATTGTTTCACTACAAAAATAAAGATAATGCCCAGGTTTTGTAAAAAGGCAACATAAATAATAATTTATTTCCCTTATAAGCTCTTCTTTTAAAAATAAAAAATTTTTTCAGTGCTGGGATTTAACCCAGGGCCTTCACACTGAGTTACATCTCCCACTTCTTTTGTTTTTGTTTTTGGAACAGGGTCTTGCTAAATTGTCAAGGCTGGGTTTGAACTTGTGATTCTCCTGCCTCAGCCTCCCACAGTGCTGGGATTACAGGTGAGTATCACCACACCCTACTTATAAACTCTTCTTGGTTGAGAAATCAGACCTCCTCAAATCCTTTCAAATAGAAAACTACCCCCCCACATACCCTAATGGCTTGGAAACCTCATCTGGCAAACCTGCTTATTGATTGGCGGGGGAATTAGCGCCTGCCCTGCAAGTACAAGGTCCCGAGTTTGATCCCCAGTACAAAAAAAATAAAAATAGGGGGCGAGGGATTTAGCTCAGTGGTTCTGCCGCCTACCTTGAAAGTACAAGGACCCGGGTTCAATCCCCAGTGCCAAAAAATAATAATAATAATAATAAGTTTAGTGAGACCCTATCTCAGAATAAAATAAGGCCAAACATGGAGAAGCACACCCGTAATCCCAGCGCTCTGGGAGGCTGTGGCCGGAAGACTGCAAGTTTGAGCCCAGGCCAGGCAATTTAGCAACCTAGCAGGACCCTGTCGCAAAGTAAAAACAATGCATTCAAAGCGCTGGGCAATGGAGCTCAGAGGGAAGAAGGCCTGGGTTCAATCCTCAGTTAATAATAATAATAATAATAATAATAATAATAAAATAAAAAATAAAAAAAGTTGTGATACAAATGCATCCTCTACATTGATCTGTTTCCTATTTAGTCCCCTGCAACTCACGCCTATCAGTGACTAACGTTGACTCAGAAGCTGAGCTTTAGAAATGCGATCTAGGCCACTTGTCTCGAGTGCATTTTAGCTGCAGCGGCTGTCTGCGAGCACCTACCCGCGCTGTTCTGTCATCGTACTCATCATCAGACATCAGGAAGTTGCAGAGCCCTCGGGTGGGGATGCTGGTGTTCTCCGTGATCCAGGTGTGCAGGTACACTTCGCCAAGCACACGCTTCATGTGCTCCCTCGTCAGGTGCATCTCCACGGCCTCGATCTTCCCTTGGATCTCCAGGAGCTTCTCCTCCATCGGCTCCCGGCCCCCGGCATCTCCTGAGGGGGGCAGCGAGTCATCGGCCGGGTCTTCTGCGTCCCCTTCTTTGCTCCTCTCCTGCTTGCTCACCTGCTTGGAAGAAGTGCCTTCTTCCTGCTGTTCATCCTCAGCATTGCCCGTCCCGGGGGAGTCAACTAGCAGGATTTTTGAGTCCTCATGGGTCGGCTTCCATAAGACTTCTGATGGAGTTTTTTGCATTGATTGGTACAAAATCCTCAGGAGGAAAAGCTTGAAGCGCCAAAAATAGGTGACCCCACTGCTTTCGATCTTCTTTTCCAAAGCTTCATGTAAAAACTGAGGAATGTGTTTATCTTTTAAAATCTTCCAGCGAACGAGGTCTATTAAATCTACCTGCTTAAAAAGATTTTGAACAGACGACTCCAGGAGCTGAGCGGCTGCTTCTTCAAAGGTTTTGAGAGTGACAAACTGGACCTGGTAGTTCTTGTTAACGGGATGGAGGCCGTTGACCATACCCTCGGTGGTGATGATGGCCAGGTACGCACCGCAGGGGCTCACTGCGATCCCGTGAGTCCTCACTGAGCCAAACACATCTGAGAGCTTAATCAGCTGGTGTTCAAACTTTAATGCCACATCTGTGAAGATGGGAATCAGCTGCCTCACCTTCCCATCGCTGGAACAGGTGTACACTGTCCCGTTCTGTCTGTCCGCAGTCATGGAGACAATGGGCAGTGAGTGAAGGCCTGTGACATGGGAATTGTGAACATTCAGGCCCGCCTTGGAGATCAGGAGAAGACACCAGAACACATAGGAGCCCCTGGCTGCCACCACCAAGCTGCAGCTGCACTTCTGGTAAGGATGGTAAAGTGGCACACATTTGATGCTGTGCACAGGCAGCTGGTCCATTTCTTTCCACAAGACAACAGGCTGCCTTAGTGTGAAGTAGCCTTTGACTGCCTTGAGGTTCACAGGGAGGATCTTCACAGGTCCAAAAGCACTCCCTACAATAAGGCCGCTCATTTTCCGATTGTTGTGTTCATATTCCCACCAAAACAGAACACTGGGAGAGCTGATTCCTGACTCAATTGTGTTGCACGAAGAGATGGACTCCTTTCCTACAAAAGGCAGCTGAAACTGCCACACAGCAATATTCCCATTTTCAAAAAGGACAGCCAGGAGCACACTGCCAACATCCCGGCACTCGTTGTTGTGCTTGACCTGCTGAGTGGTACAGATGCCCGACCACTCCATCCTGACTGGGGTCTGCATGCTGTGTCTCCTCTGAAACTCAGCAAAATCCCCGAGATTCCCTCCTGGGGCCTCATTTTTAGAGAGCCTATAACTGGTTTCATAAAGACGCTCTCCATAAATCTCAGTCAGATCCACCAGCTGGACCCACTGGAGTCTGTTGAGGTTCACCTGGACGGTCAGGCGATTGTCCATGGTCAGGGCGGCCAAGAGGCATCTACCATTCGCATCACAACCCATGGGAGACCAGCTAGTGTACTTGAACCCTCGCAATGAGGGCAGGGCCTTCCCCTCCGGGTTAAACACCCTGTCCAGCATGAAAGTCTGGCTGATGGTGGGGTCTTTCGAGGCAGCAAATCTCTCCTTACACTCTGCAACTTCTGTTTTTGAGCCAACCTGGAAACAAGAGATACAAAAATGGTTAGAAAGGCTATGGCCACATCACTCCGAATGCACCCAATCCTGTCCCATCTCAAACCAAGCAGGGTCAGCCCTGGTTAGTACTTGGATAATTCACATATAATAATTTTATACTGACCCATTCTTTTTTTTTTTTTAGAATATGTGCTGCTGAAGCGAGCAATGTTCTATTCATTTTTATCATGGCATGCTTTTAAAAGATCAAGTACATATCTAAAGACTAACTGAATATTCACAAGGAAATGGCCGTTTGTTTTGTCTTGTCTTTGGGTTTTTTTTTTTTGTTTGTTTTGTTTTTTGAGACAGGGTCTCACTATGTAGTTGAGACTGACCTGGAACTCACTGTGTAGCCCAGGGTAGTCTCAAACTCACAGCGATCCTCCTGCCTCAGCCTCCCAGAGTGCTGGGATTACAGGCGTGCGCCACCACGCCTGGCAAATGGCAGTTTTTTAAAGGATTAGAATAAATGTGGTCATAGCCTTGTTCCCACATTATTCTTAGACTTGAGGTAAGCAATTGAAAATGAGATGACTCAAGAGTGAGCTAGTCATGAGTTTAATCCCCAGTACCGCCCCCCCCGTCCCAGAAAGGAATAAGCTAGTCACCAGACAATAAAGTGTTAAAAACTTATGAAAATGTGTACCTACATTTGTCTTTGAATTTTTATAATATCTTTGCAATACAAATGTCAGCTTTAGGCTTTTTCATTCTGAAGTCTCATTAAAAATGATGCTGAGCCGGGTATGATGGTGCACGCCTGTAATCCCAGCACTCCGGAGGCTGAGGCAGGAGGATCGCTGTGAGTTTGAGACCAACCTGGGCTACACAGTGAGTTCCAGGGCTGTCTGAACTACATAGTGAGACCCTGTCTAAAAAAAACCAAAAAAAACAAAACCTGATGCTGACACCCAATATCAACTGTTTTGTCCACTGCTGCTATCAGGCAGTTGTGTCCAATGCACAGCCTGCAGGCTGCATTCAGCCCTGGACAGCTGGCAATGTGGCCTCTCAGGTTGCATAACCTTTAACATTATTCTGTAATTTTTGGGGGGTGATGTTTTTCACAAGTCAATTGCACAGTGCTTGAGCACGGACTTCAATTGTGAAAATGGAATGCTGTGTAAGAGAAAGCAGAGTACAGTGCTAATTGCTTCCGTGTCTGCCACAAAGCCAATGGGATAGAAATGTCTGCTCACGTGGACAGACACTACATGTGCTTATGCAACCCAGTGAGTAAAACAGTGATTAATGATAATGGTCACCTACAGACGTGTGTGCTTGCAAAGACTACGCAGACCTGCACGTTTTCTTATTTAATTACTGAACCTGGCTGGTCATATTACTTCATAAAATAACTTAAGTGGTCCAAGACAATTCTTCTTTATTCAGAGTGGCCTAGGCAAGACAAAAGACTGGACACCTGTGTGACAGAGCAGGACGGTTCCAGTCAGAGGAGCTCACCCTGCTTCCCCTGGCTCCTTTGCCCGTTCTGTTCCTCACCAAGAGGCACTCAGAGGTCATTCCAGCTTTCACTCACTTCCCTCCTCCAGCTCCATTACGTACCACTAGCCACTGACTGTGACAGCGAAACCTTTCATATGATTTCAAAGGGCTATGAAAAGTGGAGGGAGACAGAAATGACTTAAAAAAAAAAGTGAACCACAGCCACAAAACATAGCTGGGAAAGTTAAAGTATAAAAAAGGGCAGAGGTCAACCAAATGATAGTTTCTGTTATGTGGCAAGCAAGAAGGACTTGATCCTGCTTGGTCCACCGTCATTAAAGGAATGTTTAAAAAAAGAAAACAGGAAGAAAGAAAAAATCTTTCGATTGCTATCTAGTGTCGATCTCCTTTTTAATAAAAGCCAATCTTCAAACTGGAAAGGGCACGTTATGATAAAAAGGGAATGCAAACGTAAGGCATGCTCACACATGAATATAGTAAAGAATGAGTTTAAGTTCCCAAGCGCAGAACAATTACATTCCGGGACACAGAAAGAACTTGGAAAAATGTTAACTCAAAACCACTAACTACATCTAAATAAAGCTTAGACAACTGGAGATAAGTCAGAAAACCATAGTGGAACAAATAGTTTATCAACTTAGTAAGGTCCTGTCAAAAAAAGAAAAAGAGAAAGAGAAAGAGAAAAAAAATTTTAAAAGAGCTGGGGATGCAGCCCCATGTGGAGGCCCTGTGTTCAATCCCCAGTACTGCAAAAACACAAAAAATAAATCCCCCAAATGGTAAATATACACAGATTGTTAAGCCTAAGTAGGAATAAAATTCTTCAGCATAGTAAGAAACAAACAGTGCATGAGACAGCAGTGATATGAGAAACTAGTAAGGGATAAGTGGACTAATCTTCTTTTCTACTCAAACTATCTAGCATCATAATAGGCCTACAAAATGAAAGGTAGATATAAAGTTACTCACCAGGTTAATGAGCCAGCTAACTTTTCCTAAAGTGACTCACAGAACACTACTCCCCTAAATTAATCCTTGAAAGATTGCAGGGCCAAGCTTAGGAAATAACATTACACTTCATTCCTCCTAGAAAGGTCAAGCACACAAAATACTGTGGCCAGGGAATTCCACAGGGACTTTTAAAATCAGAGTTAGACAAAAACTTTTAAGTACAACTTTTTGGGGAATTGTTACCCTTTATGACCTTAAAGAATACTCTGAAGCGGGGTGTGGTGGCTCATGCCTGTAATCCCAGCACTTGGGAGGCTGAGGCAGGAGGATTGCTGAGTTCAAGACCAACCTGGGCTACATAGTGAGTTCCAGGTCAGTCTCAAATACATAGTGAGACCCATACAAAAAAAAAAAAAAAAAAAAAAAACAAAACAGCTCTAGAAATGGTGTTTTAGGCAGCACATCTTGATTTCTAAAAGACATTTAAGGTACTCTCTTGGCCATGCTATATAGACCCTTGGGAACAGGGAAACACAGACTGGAAATTCCCCCTAACCAAAGCTAGGAAATAAAGTAAGTCCTGAGCTATGGATGGGGAGATGCAATTTGAAACAAGAAATAAAGAAGCATCATGGAGAAAAAAAAATCAGCATGACTGAAAATTTGTACTATGATGCCAGTTTACCTGGGTTCAAATGACTCTATTACATGCTTGATCCACGACCATGTGCAAATTGCTTACACCTTCTTGGCCTTAATTTTCTAATTTTTAACAGAGAATGATAATTCATGTCTCACTGAATTAAGAAGGTTAAGTAAGTCAGACTATGCAAAGCACGTATTACTGCTTGATGTCAGTTATAATGATGAGTACTAATTATCTGAGGGCTAAGCAACTATTAATAACACTTTAAAGTATGTAACATGCAGACTAGATACAAAGTGGTATAACAATTAAAGGGTAGATATAAAGTTATTCACCATATCCTATAATACTATAAATATGCAGTAATTTTTAGATTAGGTTAAAATTATTACAAATGAAAGCTACTGTAGAACCAAACGAAACATATAGAATTTGTAACCTAAAGCTGCAGCCAGCACAAGCTAAAATAAAAGAAATCTGAAGCAACTTTCCATCCCATTCACTGTAGGAAGAATTTGTGACAAGATGGAGAATAGTACAGGCTGTGACTGGAAGGGAAGCCCGACGGTTTTGTGTAATAATTTCTAACATATTAATATGCTTGAATTACCCTACTGTACCTTCCTCCCCATCACAAAACTAGCTAGCAAATTAAACAAGAACTCCGATGCCCAAGGATCAACCACATAAAGTCCAGCTCCCAGAGGCCTGCCTAAAGCCAATCATTTTAACTGTACCCTCGGGTTGCCAGTTAACCACTAACACTATTACCAGTTAAGCTTTCGGTAAGAACCTGGCAACTGAAAAGTCATCTGAAGTTTATGGGAATGAGCCTCCCAATACAGGCTGTGGTCCTGTAATGTGGCAGACGGAGAGGGTACTTCCCAAGGCTCCTAATAACAATGCACATCCCCATTCTTGGAACTGGATACAGTTCGGTACCCAGTATCCTGCTAAATTAGCGGTCCAATTGTACTAGTTGTATCAATTGTAGCAACTGTAACTTTTTCTTTTTTGTTTTTTTTGAAACAGGTCTCACTGTGTAGTTCAGAATAGCCTTGAACCCATGATGTAGCCCAGGCTGGTCTCAAACTCACTGTGATCCTCTTTCCTCAGCTTCCGAGGAGCTGGGAGTACAGATGTGCACCACCATGCCTGGCTGTAACTTACTGTTAAACCACTATTTTTATATTGGTGTGCTTATGAGCATCCATGAAAACAGTTCCTTTTCAACAGAAGATACACCTCCTTTTGGCAGGGTACACCTTTTAAAACATCCTCTTCTGCCCTGCACCTCAATCATTTCTCAATTTACAGCACTGCCATCTGTTTACCTGATTTGTTTATACTTGAGCCAATTCATTCATATCTTCTCCAAGAGTATTTTAGGGGGCTGAGTCATACAAGTTTCCCAATTACCTTCTTCAACATCAAATTGTATTTGAAACTGGAAATGAATACAATAAAAAGTGATGAGGGCTATCAGCACTCACGACTAATGACTCAGGTTTTATTTATTAATTTATTTACCACCACCATCGCCTTTCAGGGATCGAACTCAGGACCTTATGCTTGCTAGGCAGATGTGGCTCCACTGAGTTACATCCCAGCCCCATGACTCAGGTTTTAGAATATCTGTCCAGAGTTAAGAGTTCAGAAAAACTTTACTTTCAAGTAAACTCAGTCCCTGTATATGGATGCATAGCTTTGCAGCATTAGCACTAACTGATAATTTGCTCATGAAACCAAAGAACATAAGCTCCATGAGGTCAGGGGCTTTGTTTTGCACACTGGTTATTCCCAGAACCCAGACCAGCCCCTATCCATTCACCGATGAGTGAATACACACTCTGACACATTACACACTGTATGCACATAAACGTCTATAAAGGATAAGCAGGAAGTTTTTCTATGTTTAAGCTACTAAGAGGAACGACGTTATCACTTTTGGGTGGGGGTTGAAAACAGGGTTTCACTATGTAGTTGAGACTGACCTGGAACTCACTATGTAGCCCAGGCTGGTCACAAACTCACAGCGATCCTCCTGCCTCAGCCTCCAGAGTGCTGGGATTACAGGCGTGCGCCACCACACCCAGCGACGTTATCACTTTTTAAAAACCGAGTTTGAAAACTATTAAAGTAGCAAGACTTCAGAAACTCTAAACTTTGGAAACTCCAAAATTCTGAGGCAAACTTAGATGAGGCTCAACGTCTTAAATTCACAGAAATCTTGGACTTGGAAGTTTAATCAATACATCTGTATCCAGAGGCTTCATTTTTCTTTCTGAGTCTCAAAGACGTCTACCTAGTGAAGAAAAATTTGAGTATTTACCTCTTCCCCCAAAATGAGGGACAAGGGTCATTCACAGTAAAACCGTCGAAAGAGGTAAAACGACAGAACAGAGCAGTATCCTTCTCCAAAGCAAAAGAGGCGCGAGAGGACACAACACAGTAAACAAAGCCAGCCAAGGGCCTCGGGAGCAGGCCCCAGACAAAAGGAGCAACGGTGGAGGCAGGTCCCCGGTGGGGTCAACAGGGGGTGGAGTCTCCGAAAACACCACCGAGAGCAAGAGAGCAGTCGGAGCAGCCGCCCGCTGCACGGAGCGCGAAGGGTCGTCGGCCGGACGGCTCCGGGGCGGAGGGCGCGGGATGTGTGTGTGTCGGCGCTGGGCGAGCCGGCGCAAACAGCTGCCAGGGTTTTGGTTCTGAAGCTGCGTGACCCGGGCCCAGTTGCGCGAGCACAGGTGCGGGCCGGGCTTCCCCGGGGACAGGGAACGCGGCAGCAGGAGAGAGGGGGCAGCCGGGGACCCCAACACTTCGGCCCGACGAGGACTTACTTTGAGGAGGCAGCTGTTGAGTGGCGCGGGGACCGAGGTGCGGTGGATCACCAGGTCCTGGCCCGGGTTGTGCACGTCGCAGATGAGCTCCAGAACAGCGATGCTGCGGGCAGTGGACACCGACACGCGGTGGTCCTCCGACCAGGCCAGCGGCTCCAGGCCGCTCACCGCATACT